AAGGCTGCACCACACATGGCCGGGGGCCATCGTGGGCCCTGGCACGGTGTGCGTACGCCCTCTCAGCCGAGGCCAGGAGGTTAGGAGGCAACTATTGGGAGGCCTTCGTCGGAAAGATTCAGGAGGATTAAGCCCCGTTGGGAGGCTGTTACGCCAGATTGGGCCTCGGATTCAGCGAGATTAAGCCGGATTGAGCGGGATTAAACAGGATGGGCAAAATCAGAATTAGACATCTTAGGAATTGCATCCAAAAGGAGGACTCATACACCATGCTAGGGCCCAGGATGGCCATGGCCAAGCATGGTGGTGGTGCCTTCTGCGGGCATCACCGTCTTTCACCTCTCCTCCCGTGGCGTCGCCACATCTTCTCTTCACATCGTCGTCCTCTCTCCCTCTCCACCTCTTTTCTCCACCTCTTGCCTTCGGCTTCCATTATCTGACTCCTCCCTCCTCCCGATCTGCACCGTCTTTCCCTCCATGCCTCCACCCACCTCCCCCCCACTCACCTCCGTTCTTCATCCTGGCCACTACCGCACTACCACCATCATCGGCATCCCTCTCATCTTCCTCCTCGCCCCTCTCCCCGCACCCATCCTCTTCCTCTCCTCTCATCATACTCCTCCTCCTCCTCCAACGACTCCCTCCCTCGTCCTCCTCCTCCTCCTCCTCCTCCTCCTCCTCCTCCTCCTCCTCCTCCTCTTCCTCCTCCAGGCGGAGTGGGGGGGTCAAGATGCGGAGGCGCATCACGTCGAGCGTGAAGCCTCTGGCGCTGACGGCGACTGCCAGCAGCACCGCGGGTGGGACCACGAGCACGACCGGGAGCACGGGTGGCAGCGGGGGCACGAGGCGAGGGGGCAGGCATCCACGAGAGGAGGCAGGGCACGCCCCCCCCAGAGATCCACAAACACTTCTCTAGCGAAGTAGGTCTGGGTGCTGCCGTGCGACAGCGCGACGATCGTCTGCACGATAAGGCCTCCCGCCCCCAGCGGACGTGGCCGCGGGCAGAGGGAGGAGGAGGGGCGGGGCAGAGCAGGACAGGCGCGAAGAGAGCGGGACTGGACGAGGAGGAGGAGGAGGAGGACTCCTGCAGGGGCTTCGACATCAGCAAGGCAGAATGCCCGTGCGGGCGCGGACACACCTAGTGACACAAAGTATATAAGAGGATCTGCGAGCTGTTCATTTGTCAAGCCGTACACAAGCTCGCGCACTACCCGATCGAACGCTTTGACTAAATCGAGGAAGAGCACAAACACGCATGCATCCTGAAGCTTAGCCATGTTGATTAACATGAGCACGAGATGTGAGGCAAGATCTGTACCACGCTTCGCGGTGGCTCCGCACTGCATGCTAGGCTGCCGTGCGTTATATTGACTATCAAGCACGGACCTTAACTGATAGAAAAAACCCTTGGCAGAGTGGTCTGCCTCGAAAGTTATCCGGATCTTCAACGCTGCCTTTCTTTTTATATATGTCGACGAGCCTACCTCCAGTCCAAGACAAAGGCCATCGCTCCTGCTCGACAATCTTGACATGGAGTTCCGAAAACTTAACTGCGAGCGAGTCAACGGCCGATCGAATTAGCTCGCCTGGAATACCGTCATTGCCGACGCCTTTGTTATTCTTCAACAACATGAATGCGCGGCGCGCCTCACTCGGCGCGACGCGCAGCACGCTAGACTCTGCACAATGCTGGAAGCGTGGCGGCGCGGCCGCTGCTGCCAAGGCCTCAGGGGCAGTCAGCATGCCACGGAAGACCTGAGCGAAGTGGCCGCGCATCAGCATGTCGCGTTCACCTCGTGTACTGGTGAGCTCACCGTCTGGCCCACGTAGCGCGGAGGCTGTCGGCAGCCCGCGCCCCGACAAAGCTGACGTGATGGCGCAGGTGGTGCGCGAGTCGCCCTTGACGTGTGCCCACTGCGCCTCCAAGGCTTTCATGCCGATCCAGATCTGTCGATCGGCCTTGACGAGCTTCCTTGAGATCAGCCCGACATCGCGAGCCGTGCGGTGCAGCATGGCAGACATGCGCCGCACCGCTGCCAGCGCACGGGCAGCCTCGGCGCATGCTGCGCGGGCGCGCCATCCACGCCGCCCAGCGCCGGCAGTCAGGCTGCCGCGGCCGCCCTCTGTTGCGGGGTGCACGAAGTCGGCGTGCAGCACTGACGCAAAGGCGTGCCACGCCTTGGACAGCAGCGCAAGCCGTTCAGCGCGAAAGCCTCTGTGGCGTAGCCGCACCAGGGGGGCCACCATCTGGACCACGCCCCATGAGGTTGACGAGATCCATGGCTTCCGAGGTCGCTTCTGAGGAGGGCCGAACGTGGCTTGGGCATGCTGCAATATCCACGCATTCAGCTCGGCAAGATGCTGGTCCACTGACCACCCTCTCTGGGACTGGAACGCCCACATCTTCTGATTGAAGCGCTCTACTAGATGCGGGTCCGAGAGCTTGGTCTTGTCAAAGAGCACTCTGCATCTGGTTGCTTTCTCTAGCTGAACACCCTTCGGCATGGTCACGTCTACCACAACAGGTCTGTGATCAACCGAGCCGTCCAAGTTTAGATCAACATTCTCATCCGCATACGCATTGCATATTGTCCGTTTGTGGCTGGCTTTGATACACACGTAGTCAATGCGGGCCGTAGTCCTGTACGTCGACATCCAGGTCCATGCGATTGGAAAACCTGTGTTAGCCGCGTACATGTTCGTGTTGTAAAGGCATCGTCGAAAACGAGCACCATTGTTGTTCTCTTTGTCCATATACGCAGAACCAAGAGCTGGAGATTTCACGCTACCGACTCGAGCATTGGCGTCAATCAGCAGCACGATGGAGTAGGAGGGAAACCTGGAAGTGCATTGTAGCAGGTGCCTCTCGAGCATCTCCCAGAAGTCATCTTTGGAGCGCTTGGTGGAGAACTCATGGGGGGCGTGTGCTGAACAGATCACCAGCCCTGCGGCCAAAGCCTGCGCCACGCCAACAACTGTAGTGATCCGCGCACTCGGCTGAGTGAACACGTCGGCTGAAAACTGCAATGAATTCGAAACCCAAACTTGAGAGCCGCATCGAGACTCAGGGCATGCACCTGCGAACATCTCGTAGTAGTTACCTACAACATGACGTTTGGTAGTGCTGCGCCCCTCTTGGATGCCAACGATCCCATGCCCAGCATCGTGGAACATCATCCGGAGAAGTTCAGTCTTGCTGTTCAGCGACGTGCGATTGTAGCTAGCTTCATCTTGCCAAGGGAGAAGTGTGCGCACATTTGCAGACGCAAGTCGAATTCTTGACGAGTCTAGGCCCCGCTCGTCACGCGCCTTCCCTGCGCTGTCCGCCCCACTCAAGGCGGGACTTGCACCTCCGAGACATCGTCGTTTTTTGCTGGCAGATGGCGGCAGTCGCGCTGAGAAGTGGGTGCCCCCAGCGGGCCCTTGCCAACCATCCTGCGCTCCTTGGCTTCGCTGTCCCCGTTGGGCTCGTCTGGCCGAGAACGGCGGGTGCCATTGCTCTCGTCCATGGGGGCTGTAGCCGTCGTATTGGCCACGTGAGCAATCTGCTGGATGCCAATCGAGAGCTGCTTCATCAAGTTCTCGGCCTCCGCGACGTGCTGAGGTGGAACCACTCCACCGTCCTGCATTGCCTTCAGGACTGAGTCCATCGCGGAGCTCATCATCTGGATGCAGTTCATCCCGCTCGTCATCGGGAGCTCCTGCTGTAGCTTGGCGAGCTCGGTCTGGAGCCGCGCCTGTTCGGCTGCAGCCTCTTGCTTGGCTGCGTTGGCGCGCTCGATCACCCGCTGGCAGTCGGAGGCCCGCTTCTGGGACCTCAGGAGCGCTGCCTTGCAGGAGTCGATCTGCGCGCCGAGGGGCCTCTGACGCGCGATGGCCAGCTTGACCTCCGCAAGCCGCTCCTGCAGCTGCTTGCGCTCCGCGTCGAAGCCTACGAGGGGCAGGGCGCTCAGGGCCGCCTCGATCTGCTTGACCTGTGCGTCGCCCGCTGAGCGCTGGTTGTGGGAGTCGGCAGTGCTGCTGGTGGGCTTCGGCTCCGCCGTCGCAGCTGCCAAGTCCGCTTGGAGTTGATCGATCTTGCCGCGCAGCTCGTGCTGGACCAGCTGGCCCGATTGCACGCTCTCGCTGTGCATCGGCTGGTGGGGGCTCTGGTGGCTGGAGTGCGGCGCCGACGTGGTGCTCCACCCGCGTTTGAGACCACACTTGCTGCACTTCTTGTTCCAGCACCACTCGGAGCAGAACGTGCACTACTGCCACCACTGCCACGCTCCACCATGCTGCTGTCGCCATGGCGCTGGCGCGCCGCTGCTCCCTCGGCCCTGCTCGGACCACGACGCGTGGCCACCGTGCTGGGACGCGGCGCCCCATCCAGCCATCTCGGAAGCTCAGAGGAAAACTGGGATGGTGTGGGGGGCAAACGTAGACTTACGTTTCAACTCAACCCCGTGACCCTCAAGCTTGAGCCAAAATGGATACGGGGCTGAAGCAACATAGGGGAATCCGCCGACCCCTTGGGGATCATCGGCGTGTGAGATGCTCCCCCCTCCCCAAACCCCTCCCCCAGGAGCCCGGTCCGGTCAATTTGGAGGGGGGGGGGGGGCCCGACGAGCGCGCCACGGGCTCTTCCGGGCCCAAGAGGGCTTAAAGATGGGCCAAGAAGGCCCCAAGAGGGTTCCAAGACGGCCCACGAAGGCCCCGGGACGCTAAACGAGCGCTCCAAGACGCCCAAGATGGCCCCAAGACGGGCCAAGAGGCCTCCAAGACGGCCCCGGAGGTCCCAAACAAGCCTCCCAAGAGGGCCCCGAGAGGCTAAAATTGTTGATTTTCCTTTGTGTTTTCAATGTTTTTTGCCTTTTCGCCTTTTCGGCTTCCCGACGTTCCAAGACGGCCCAAGAGGCCCCGAAGACAGCCCCAAGACGGCCCAGGAGGCCCCCGAGACGGCCCCAAGACGGCCCAAGATAGCCCCAAGACGGCCCAAGAGGTCCCCAAGACGGCCCAAGAGGGCTCCAAGACGGCACCAAGAGGGGCCCCAGAGGGCGACCAAAAATTCAAAACATCTAGCTTTCCGCCCCCATGAGCCCCAGAGGGGCCCCAAGAGTGCCCCAAGAGGCCGCCAGAGGCTCCCAAGAGGCCCCCAAGACGCCCCAAGGAGCCCCCAAGAGGCCCCCAGGAGGCCCCAAAAAGACCCCCAGAAGCTCCGAAACGGCTCCCAAGTGGCTTCGAAACTGCCTTCCAGAGGCCCCCGAGAGGCGTGGCGCGATATCCCGATACACATGCAAGAAGCCTCTAACCCAGAACCATGACCCAGAGCCTCCTCTCTGTGTCCCCCTCCCCCTCCTCCCCCTCCTCCTCCACCTCGGCCCCCAAGTGGCTTCAAAACTGCCTTCGAGAGGCCCCCGAGAGGCGTGCCGCGAGATCCCGATACACATACAAGAAGCCTCTAACCCATAACCCATAGCCCAGAGCCTCCTCTCCGTGTCCCCCTCGTCCTCCCCCTCCTCATCCTCCCCCTCCTCCTCCTCCACCTCCTCCTCGTCCCCCTCCTCCTCTTCCCCCCTCCACCTCATCCTCATCCTCTTCGATGTTTGTCCCCCCCCCATCCTCCGCCTCACCCCCCATGCTTCTCTCCCCGTCCTCCTTTTCCTCCCCAGCGCGGCCCCAAGAAGCCTCCAGGAGGCCCCAAGAAGCCCCCAAGAAGCACCCAAGAGGCTCCAAGAGGTCCACCAGAGGCCCAAAAGCGGCCCCAAAACGGCATCAAAGTGCTGCCAGGAGGCCTCCGAGAGACCTACCAGGAGTCCCAAGGGGTCGGCGGTGCGGCGTAAGCCAAATAATCAAGAAACAGAGGGCATCCCTGAGGAACATCATAAACTTGAGCTTGCTGCAATAGTTAATCAAAAGGGCAATCCCAACACTGCGTTGTGATATTAATATGCAATGCTTTGTCACTGCGTCACGTCGAGCATCACGGTCTCC